GGCAGACTGCGCAGGAGGGGGGGGGGAGTGGTGGCAGAGAGGGAGAGAGGTAGAGAGCGAGGGGAGAACGGTATGGGGGAAGAGGGTCATAGACGAGGGAGAGAAGAGATGGGGGGAGGGGAGGAGAAGGAGAGAGGAGAGAAGAAGAGAGAGGGTTATGTTAGAACGAGGAGAGGGAGGAAGAGGGAGGGAGGGAGGGCAGGGGGGAAGGGAGACAGGGTTGAGGATTGAGGGGAAGAGGTGGAGAGCGAGGGAGGGAGGGAGGAGAGAGGAGGGAGAGGGCAGGCGCCTTCGCAGCTTAGCGAGAGGGGATGACACGGTGTCTGTATAGTGATGAGTCTCGCCCCGCCCCACTTTCTTGGCATCATCCTTGACCATATCCGCGTTACTCCCCCCCACCCCTCCCCTCCCCTCCCCATGCTCCTGCGTCCTCCCTCCTTCCCCCATCCTCCCCTCCTCCTCCCCCATCCTCCCCCTCCTCTCCCATCCTTCCCTCCTATTCTCTGTTCCCATTTTCTGTCCTTTCCTCTTATTCTCTGTTCTTCCTTCTTATTCTCTGCCCTGACCTCCTGTTCTCTGTTCTGACATCCTATTGTCTGGCCTCCCTCCTATTCTCTGTTTATATTTCTGACCTTCTCTCCTATTCTCTGTCATTCCCTCTCTATATCCTTCCCTCCTATTTCTGTCCTTCCTTTACTACTATCCTTTGTCCTGACCTCATATTATCTGTCCCTCCCTACTATCCTCTGTTCTTCCCTCCTATTCTCTGTTGCTGTTTTCTGACTTTCCCTCCTATTCTCTATCTTTCCCTCCTATTCTCTGTCCTTCCTTTCTATCTTTTGTCCTGACCTCCTATTATCTGTGCTCCCTTCCTATCCTCTGGCCTTCCCTCTTATCCTCTGTTTTTCCCTTGCTCTTGTGCTTCCCTCCCTCTCTCCCTCCTTTTTCCCCCACCCTCCTTCCATCCTACCCCCTCTTATCTCCCCCCTCCCATCCACCCTCCCTCCTCCTCCTTCCCCTCCCCCCCCACCCTCCCTTCCATCCTACCCCCTCTTACCCCCCCCCCCCCGTATTATTCCCGTCATTTGGCCCCTCCTTCGGCCGACAGTTGTGCTGACTCACGCAGGGTCACGGAACGGGAAGTGGCGTTGCTGGCTGTGGACACCATCCAGTGCCAAGGGTGCCAGTGGGTGGGGGGGGTGCTAGGAGGTGCCGGGAGTGTTCGGGTGCTCGAGGGTGTCGTGGGTACCTCCGTGGGTATGTGCTCAGAGGGTACCAAGGGGTGTCCGTGGGTATGAGAGGGTGCTCGATGGTACCAAGGGGTGTCCGTGGGTATGAGGGGTGCTCAGAGGGTACCAAGGGGTGTCCGTGGGTATGAGAGGGTGCTCGAGGGTGTCCGTGGGTACCAAGGGGTGTCCGTGGGTATGAGGGGGTGCTCAGAGGGTACCAAGGGGTTCCATGAGGGGGTGCTCAGAGGGTACCAAGGGTGTCCGTGGGTATGAGAGGTGCTCGGGGTGTCCGGTACCAAGGGTGTCCAGGGGTGTCAGAGGTACCAAGGGGTGTCCGTGGGTATGAGGGGGTGCTCAGAGGGTACCAAGGGGTGTCCGTGGGTATGAGAGGGTGCTCGAGTCCGTGGTACCAAGGGTGTCCGTGGTATGACTCAGAGGGTACCAAGGGGTGTCCGTGGGTATGAGGGGGTGTCCATGGGTACCAAGGGGTGTCCGTGGGTATGAGGGGTGTCATGGGAGGGTGTCGTGGGTATGAGGGGTGTCCCATGGGTACCAAGGGGTGTCCGTGGGTATGAGGGGGTGCCAGAGGGTGCGTGAAGAGGGTGCCAGGGGATGACATGCGTGCGACAGCGTGACCAGGGATTGGGCTTGGTGAAGGAAGCAGAGGAGCAGGTGGGAGAGGAGAAGGAAGAGGAAGAAGAAGAGGAGGAGAAGAAGGAGGAGGAGTAGGTGGAGGAGGAGGAGAAGAAGAAGAAGAAGAAGAAGGAAGAAGGAGGAGGTGGAGGTGGAGTGGGGGAGGGGGGAAGGAAGAATAGGAGCAACAGGAGGAGGAGGAGCAGCAGCAGCAGGAGGTGATCTTGCCGAAGGGAGTTCTGGTAAAATCTTCTTAGTCATTTGATCTGGTGACACAGAGGCTGACGTAACTGTTTAGGGAACTCTCTGGCGAAGGTCAATCGGGCCCTCTCGATGCCCCGCCTCGCTCGCTCTCTTCTCTCTCTCTCTCTGAACTCTCGCTCTTGTTCTCTCTCTCTCTCTCTGTCTGAAACTCTCGCTCTTGTCTCTCTCTCTCTCTTCTCGGCCTCTCTTCTCTCTTCTCTCGCCTCTCCGCTCTTGTTCTCTCTTCTTGTATCTCTCGATGCCCCGTCTCGCCCGCTCTTCTCTCTCTCTCTCTCTCCTCTCGTCTTGCTCTTCTCTCTCTCTCTCTCTCTCTCTCTCTCTCTCTCTCTCTCTCTCTCTCTCTCTCTCTCTCTCTCTCTCTCTCTCTCTCTCTCTCTCTCTCTCTCTCTCTCTCTCTCTCTCTTTCTCTCCTCTCGTTCTCATTCTCTCTTTCCTCTCGCTTCACTGGCGCTCTTCTCTCTCTCGATCTCCTCTCTTCTCTCGCCTCTCCGCTCATCTCTTATTTTCTTTCTCCTCTCACCTCTCGCACTTCTCTGCTCTTAGTCTCTCTTCTCGTAGCTCTTCTTCCTCATCTCTCTTCTCTTTTCTTTCTTCTGTGTTCTCTTTCTGTTCTCTTCTATTCTCTTCGTTTCTTTGTACCTTTTTCTCTTCTCTCTCTTCTCTTCTCTCTTTCCCTCTCTCCCCTCCCTCCCTCCCTCGCTCCCTCTTTCTATGCGTGTGCGTTTGCATGTAGGTATGCTTGTGTGCGTAACTCGCGTGTGCGTCTGAAATCGTGCCCATGTATGCAAGCACTTAAGAGAGACTGCAACACGTAAACTCACACGCTCCTCGCATTAAGAATAAAGATAAATAGAAAAACATTATTAAAAAGAATATATTCAACCTTCCGTAAATCCTGCCAAAACAAGTTAAAAAAAAAGTAAAAAAAGAAAAAAGAATGATAATCCGTGGAAACACACACACACAAAACAAAAATTAAAGTAAAGAAAAATGAAAAAAAATATAAATAAAAGGGAAGAAGACAAGTTAAAAAGACAATCTGAAACGAGAGAGAGAGAGAGAGAGAGAGAGAGAGATAGAGAGAGAGAGAAGAGAGAGAAGAGAAGAGAAAGAGAAAGAGAAAGAAAGAAGAAAGAAAGAGAGAAAAAGAGGAGAGAGAGAAAGAAAGAAAGAGGAGAGAGAGAGAAGAGAAAAAGAAGGAGAGAGAGAAAGAGAAAAAGAAGAGAGAGAGAGAGAGGAGAAAGAAGAAAAGAGAGATAAGAGAGAGAGAGAGAGAGGGCTGGCGATCGTCCTAGCCTGGCCACACCCTCGGGGCTTGCGAAATGGGCGCGCAGACAAGGGCGGCCAGAGGGTTGAAACGCCTCACGGTCACACGAGAAGGGCGGGCATATGCAGGGCCGCCGCTGCAGGGTGGCTCGCTGGCTCTCTCCCGCGTTCGCTTTTTCTCTCTCGTTTTCTCGTCTTTTGTGTGTTTTTAGTTTTTTTTGGGGGGGTATTTATTATTTTTTTTTTTCTCATTTTCATTTTATCGTACTTTTGATTTTTTTGTTTATATCGTACTTTCGATTTTTTTTTTTTTTATCATACTTTTTTCGTTTTATCGTACTTTTTTCTCATTTTCTTGTTCTTTTGTTTTCTAATTTTGTATCTGTCTCTCGTTCTTTCGTTTTATCGTTCTTGTGGTTTTCTCGTTTTTTGTTTAAAGTTTTTCTTAAAGTTCTTTTTTATCGTGTTTCTGTTATACGTTTTCTTTTATTTTATTTTGCGTGAAAATGGCAACGATGAAGGATATCAGACCATTCCCCAAATTCTAGAAATATCTCCAGAAAGATGACATAAAGACTACGGCAAAATAGTGATAATGATGATAAGGATAATGATATTATACTTAACCTATATTTATACTTAACATCCCTCAATGTCATCCCTACGCATTTGCCGTTACTTATTTATCTGCTTACATTTATATCTAACATCCCTACACACATTTACCTGCTTATATTTACATTTATATATAGCATCCCTCACTAACCTCCCCGCACACATATCCCGTTACTTAATTATCTACTTTCATTTGTATTTAATATACCTCATTAACCTCTCTACAAATATATCCCGCTACTTAATTATCTTCTTATATTTATATTTAACATCTCTTAATAAGCTCCCTACACACATATCCCGTTACTTAATTATCTACTTACATTTATATTTAACATCCCTAAGTAACCTCGCTGTACACATATCCCGTTACCTAATTATCTACTAACATTTGTATTTAACATCCCTCACTAACCTCCCTGTACATGTATCCCGTTACATTTATATTTATATTTAACATCCTTCGCTAACCTCCCAGCACTCATATGCCGTTACTTAATTATCTACTTACATTTATATTTAACAACCCTTAGTAAGCTCCCTACACATATCCCGTTACTTAATTATCTACTTACACGTATAGTTAACATCTCTCACTAACCTCCCCGTTACATAATTATCTACTTACATTTATATTTAACAACCCTTAGTAAGCTCCCTACACATATCCCGTTACTTAATTATCTACTCACATTTATATTTAACATCCTTCGCTAACCTCCCAGTACACATATCCCGTTACTTAATTATCTACTTACACGTATAGTTAACATCTCTCACTAGCCTCCCCGTTACATAATTATCTACTTACATTTATATTTAACATCCCTTAATAAGCTCCCTACACATTTCCCTGTGACGCTGTGCACATGGCCCGCCCAGTGCCTCGCCGACTGCCCCACGTGTCGGTTGGTTTTCGGCGCGCGCCAAAAATTCCCCGCCAGACACAACAGGTTCTCGGTCTTCTCTCTCTCGCTCGCCAAGGTTTTTTAAAAATCTTTTTTTGCTTCTTTTTCTTTGTTTTCTCTCTTTCTTTCTTTCTCTAGGCGCGGAAGTGTTGCAGTGTTGCATTGCAAGCCGGATTTTTGGGGGGTGGCGTAGGTTGTTCGCTTGGGGGGGGGCGAGGGGTGAGAGGGCGTTTTTTGCAATTTTTTATTTTTTTATTTTTTTTTTAGGGGGAGGGGGTTGTGTTATATTTTTTCTTTTCTTGTTCGTATTTTTTTTGTTTTTCTTTTTCTTTTGTTTCTTTTCTTTTTCTTTTATTTTCTGGTGTTTTGTTTTGGGTTTGGGTTTCCTAGTGTTATTTTTATCGAATCTTGCACAGATTGGGTAGGTGAATGTACTAAGGGAGACAGAGACAGAGACAGAGACAGAGACAGAGACAGAGACAGAGACAGAGACAGAGACAGAGAGACAGAGAGACAGAGAGAGAGAGAGAGAGAGAGAGAGAGAGAGAGAGAGAGAGAGAGAGGAGGGAGGCAGATAGACGCACATAGAGACACAAAGAAAACGAAATATGAGAGAGAGAGAGAGAGAAACAGGAGACAGAGAAAAAGAAAGAAGCAAGGGAGAGAGAAACCGCGAGAGAGGCGAAAGAGGAAGAAGCGTGGCGCGGGAGAGACCGGCCGGGTCACGGGGGACGGGCCAAGGTTCAGCTAACCTTGGCCAAACCTACGCGAACGGGAGCTGCTCTTTTTGAATTTCCCTCCCCTTTTTTATCCAATTTATTGTATTTGTTTTATAATGTTTTACTATTTTTTTTATTCTATTCTGAAGTGTTACGCGAACGGGAGTTGCTCTTTGGAATTCTCTTTTTTTGTTTTTATCCAATTTATTGTATTGTTTATGTTTTACTATTTTTTTTATTCTATTCTGAAGTGTTACGGGAACGGGAGTTGCTCTTGTGAATTTCCCTCTTTTTTTGTTTTATTCAATTTATTGTATTTGTTTTATAATATTTGACTATTTTTTATTCTATTTTGAAGTGTTTGCGGTGTTTTATGGGGAGCGGTGGCGGTCGCTTTAGCCGGTGGTCGGGTTAAGCGGTGGGCGATCTCTTATTCGGCTGTTTTTCTTTTTTTTGTTTTTGTTCTCCCGGTTGTATCTTATCCCTCTCGCTATTTTTTTTTCCTTTCCTTTTTTCATTCATTCGCTTTTCTTCTTTTCTCTTCTTCGCGCTTTTTTTCCTTCTTCCCTTCCTTTTTTCCCTTCCATACTTTCTCTTTAGTGTTTTTTCTTTTCTATTTTCTCTTTCTCTCTGTCTTATTATTACTGATTGTATTATATTATTATTATTATTATTATTATTATTATTATTATTATTATATTATTTTAATTATTATATTATTATTATTATTATTATATTATTCATTATTACCATCATTCATAATTGATATTGTTGTTATCATTATTATTTTTTTCTTCTTCTTCATATTATTGTTATTATTTTATTATTATTATTATTATTATTATTATTATTATTATTATTTATTATTATTATTATTATTATTATTATTATTATTAGTCCTATTGTTATTATCATTTTATTATTAGTGTTACATATACAAATGTACATATATGTATATATATATATTTATTTATATATTTATATATTTATATATATACATATATACATATATACATATACATATATACATATACATATATACATATACATATATACATATACATATATATACATATATATATACATATTATATACATATATATACATATGCATACATACATACATACATACATACATACATACATACATGCATACATGCATGCATGCATGCATGCATGCATGCATGCATACATACATACATACATACATACATACATTACATACATACATACATACATACATACATACATACATACATACATACATACATATATATATATATATATATATATATATATATTATATACATATACATATACATATACATATACCCATATAAAAGTATTTATGCGCAACAATAATATCAATAATAACATGATAGTGATAATGGAGCCAATAACTAGCAATAATGATCTTGATACATATACATACTTATTTACACGACGTACCACGAGATCCGAAAGCAGAGCCGTCGATCCGGTTCTCACTAGTAGATTGAACCCGTATTTTAAGGGCGGGTGGGGTCGCCTGCGTTTCGAGGGCGGGGGGGGGGGTCAGCCTATCACTCTGCGGTGCTGATGTGCGGTTGGGAGTCCCCGTGTGTGTGTGTGTGGTGTTGTGTGTGTGTGTGTGTGTGTGTGTGTGTGTGTGTGTGTGTGTGTGTGTGTGTGTGTGTGTGTGTGTGTGTGTGTTTTATGGGAGGGGGGAGAGGGGAGGAGGGGGGTTGTGTTTTGTGGTTTGGGGAAAGGGTGAAAAGGAGGGGAAAAACGAAGGGAAGGAGAAGAATTAAGAGAGAAAGGGAGAGGGTGAGAAAAGAAGGGAGAGAGGGAGAGAAAAGGAAGAGTAAAGGAAAGGAAGAGGAAAGAGAGAGAAAGCGAGGAAAAGGAAAGGTTATGACTAAGGTAAAAAATTAGAGAATCTAAGAGAAAAAAAAGAATATTAAGCCGATTAATACTACCGAAAGAAAAAAACAAAAACAAACAATCGATTCATTACATTTTCTTTTTTTTTTTTTTCTTTCGACAACATTTACCACATAAATTAAAAACTGAGGGATTTTAATTAAGTCCCGATAAGGATGAGGTTTTGAGAGAAATCTGAGCTTGCGTGGTGGAGGTTATCAGTTAAGATATGCGGCGGATGTTGGACTGACTCATTCTTTTGCTGAGATAAGCGGGAACCCCCCTCCCCCCTCCCCCTCTTTCTTTGTTTTATTATTCTCTTCTCTCTCTCTTTTTTTTTTTTTTTTTTTTTTTACTTTTTCTTTCTTTCTTTCTCTCTCCTCTTCTTCTTCTTCTTTTTTCCTTGTTTTTACTTTTTCTTTTCTTTTCTTCCCTCTATTTTGCCTTTTTTTACGTTCTCTGTACGGTTTTCTTCTTCCTATATTCTCTTCTCTCTAGTAAGTTCTATTCTCCTTCTCCTCTTTCCCTTCCCTCATTGTTTTTGCGTTCTCTCTTCTCTACCCTTGTTTCTCTTCGTTCTCACTTTCTCTTCTTCTTTATCCTTATTGGTTACGTTCTCCTTCCCTTCTCCACCTCTTCCTCCTCTCTCTTTTTTTACGTTTTCATTTAATTCTGTTCTCTCTTTTATTTTTTACGTTCTTTGTCTTCTCTTTGTCAACCCCTATTCTTATGTTCTCCTTCTTTTCCGGTCCTCTTTTGTTACTTTATTTTTATCATCTCTTCTCTTTTCTCTACGTTCTTCTCCTCCTTCTTTCCCCTTTCTCTTCCCTTCCATTTTTTTCTTGTTCTCTCCCTGTCTCTCCATTCCTTTCTTCTCCCCAACTCTCTCTCTCTCTCTCTCTCTCTCTCTCTCTCTCTCTCTCCTCTCTCTCTCTCTCTCCTCTCTCTCTCTCTCTCTCTCTCTCCTCTCTCTTCTCTCTCTCTCTCTCTCCCCCTTCTCGTTCTTTTTTTCTTTCTCTTTATCTATATCTATTTTTCTGTCTATCTATCCGTCTATCACATTCTATGAGCATTTTCAAATATTCTTATCCAAAGACAGAATAGCGGGAAAGGGTACTGAACGATTACGGTAATCTCCCTCTCCCCCCTCCCTTTCCTCCTCCCTCTCTAACCCCACCATCTCCCTCTAATTCTCCTTTTCCCTCCCTCCCTCCTCCACCCTCTCCCTCTCCTCCTCCCTCCCTCACCCTCTCCTCCCTCCCTTCCCTTCCTCTCTAACCCCCACCATCTCCCTCTACTTCCCTCCCTTTCCCTCCCTCCCTCCCTCCCTCCCTTTCCTCTCCTCTCCCTCTCCTCCCTCCCTCCCTCCCTCCCTCCCTCTCTAACCCCCTACCTCTCCCTCTAATTCCTCCCTTTCCCTCTTCCTCCCTCCCTCCTCCCTCCCTCCTCCTCCCTCCTCCTCCCCTCCTCCCTCCTCCCTCCCTCCTCTCTCTCCCTCTTTCTCTCCTTCCCTCCTTTCCTCTCCTCCCTCCCTCTCTCTAACCCCACATCTCCCTCTACCCTCCCTCCCCTCCTCCCTTTCCCTCTCTCCCTCCCTCCCTCCTCTCTAACCCCCCCTCCCTCTCCTTCCTCCCTTTCTCTCCTCCCTCCCTCCCTCCCACCTTCTTCCTTCCTCCCTCATCCTCTCCTTCCTCCACCCTCTTCCTCTTCTACTCCTTCTCCCCCCTCCCCCCCATTCCGTCTTCCGCGTACCGTCTCTGACAAAAAAAAAAAAAAAAAAAGTAAGACGCATTTGCCTTATCGCCTTTCGTAACCTCCTTATCTGGCGCGAGGTGGCGTGCGTGCGCGCGGGCGGGCGACGGGCGTTATCGCACCTCGGGTCGGGAGATAAGGGCGGCCATTCAGAGCCACGGGTGGGACGGGCTTTTTTTTTTTGTGTGGTAGGGAGGAGGGGGGGGGGTTGTGTGTGTGTGTGTGTGTGTCTCCATATGTATTATGTATATATATATATATATATATAATATATATATATATATATATGTATGTATGTATGTATGTATGTATGTATGCATATATGTATGTATGTATGTATTTGTATGCGCACACACACACACACACACACATATATATATGTATATGTGTGTGTGTATGTACAGGTGTCGATATGTATGTAGGCTGGATTATGTACGCGTATGATCCATAAAAGATTATCTCGCGAATTGACTTTTTTCAGAATTTTTCAATGAAAAACTACAATACACACTATTTTTCCGTGAAAGATTATCTCGTGAATTGACCTTTTTTATATGATTTTACACTGAAACCAATACACACAATATATTTTTTTTTTCACGAGACTGCTCTAGAAGAAATACCATCGTATACCCAAATCTCTATTGCAAGACATTTAAATACGTGTTTTACGCCATTTTCACCCTTAAGAGACGATTACACAAGTGACAGGCGCTTTTGCCATTCATATTGGGTCGTATTCATGTTGATTCGCCCTATAACGGACGCCCTTGCTTCAGCGGGCACGGGGGAGCAGAAGGCTGTGTGCCCGCGTGACAGTTGGTGACAGTTGGTGACATTGGCGCTTTTTAAACCGCGCATTGTTACGAAAGTGAGTCTGTTTGTATTCGTGTTTGAGGGAGGGAGAGGGAGAGGGTGGGGAGTGAAGGGGAGAGAGGGAGGGGTGAGAGAGAAAGAGAGAGGGAGGGAGAGAAAGAGAGGAGGGAGAGAGAAAGAGAGGGAGGGAGAGAGAAAGAGAGAGGGTTAGAGAGAAAGAGAAGCTGAGAGAATGAGAGAGAAAGAGAGAGGGTGAGAAAGGGAAAGAGAGAAAGCAAGAGAGGAGGGAGAGAAGGAAAGAAATGGTGAGAGAGAAAGAGAGAATGACAGAGAGGGAGGGAGGGAGGGAGGGAGGGAGAGGCAAAGACAAGAGAGAGAATTTGCGTGTGAAAATGACCGTGAGTGTGATCGTGCTATTTCGTTCAGCAGGTCGTGGGAAGGCGGACCAGGACGATGACTGGTCAGAAACCTCCTTGCCAAACCCCCTCTCCCCCCTCCCCCCCACCCCACCCACTACCTCAATCTCTCCCTCTCTCCTCTCTCCTTCTTCTCCTCTCTCCAAGCTCCACCTCTCTCTCTCTCTCTGTCTTTGTCTTTGTCTCTCCCTCTCTCCTTCCCTCTCCTCCCCTCCCCCTCTCCAACCTCCTCCTCTCCCAGGCTTCTCTCCCCTTTTCCCTTCCTCTCCCTTTCTCCTTCTCCTCTCCCACCCTCTCCTTTCTCCCTCTCTCTCTCCCTCTCTCTCTCCTTTCCCTCTTCCTCCTTCGCCCCTCCTCTCTCTCCTTCCTCTCCCTTCCTCCCTCCTCCGCCCTCCTCTCCTCTCTCTCTCCTTCTCTCCTCTCCCTCTCCCTCCCTCCTCGCCCTCGCCCCATCCTCTCCTCTCCCCCTCTCCCTCCCCTCCCTCCCTCCCCCTCTCTCCCTCCTTCCCGCCCTCCCTCCCTCCCCCGCTCCCCCCCTCCCCTATCCCTCCTCCCAACCTCCTCTCCGCTCTAGTAATGTTAGTTAGCCTTAGTTAGCCTCTGCCGTCGGTTTGAACTCCTTGTGATTTTACCCTTACGCAGGTATCGTGGTCTTCAAGAACAGGGTGCGGGTTGCTGTTTTATTCGGTGTTTCTGTTGTATATATTCCTTTATTCATTTATTCGTTTATTCGTTTATTTGTGTGTTTGTTTGTGCGTTCAGTTGTTTTGTATGTTGATATCGGTTTCAAGAACAGTGTGCGGATTTTTTTTTTTTTTTTGTGCTTGTGTTATATTTATTCATATATTCATTTATTTGTGTGGTTGTTAGTTCTATTGTTTTGTATGTTGATAACGGTTTCGGCGTCTGTCTAATCGGAAGGCAGTGGCGACTCGACTAGCCAATGAGAAGTCGAAGTCGAAGTCGAAGTCAAAGTCCATAAAAATTATTCCATTGAACTCGTAAGTTGAAAAAAAAAAATAAAAGTCGAAGTCAAAGTCCATAAAAATTATTCCATTGAACTCGTAAGTTGAAAAAAATAGAAAGTCGAAGTCAAAGTCAAAGTCCATAAAAATTATTCCATTGAACTCGTAAGTTGAAAAAAATAGAAAGTCGAAGTCGAAGTCAAAGTCCATAAAAATTATTCCATTAAACTCGTAAGTTGAAAAAAATAGAAAGTCGAAGTCAAAGTCAGAACATTTTATTCGATTAAACTCGTAACCTGAAAAAAAATCTCATAGAGTCAAGTTTAGTGAGATTTGTGAAGGTTCGGGAGTGTCTGGAGTTCAGTGTGTGCAGTGAAACGGTTGGTTTTACACTCGCTAACTGCTGAAACTACGTGTGACCGTTGAATTCTTCGGGAAATGGGTTTAATTTGTGTTTTTAATTAATGTATTGGGTTGTTTGTTTATTTGTTTTGAGTTTATTATTTGTCTTTGATGTTTTTATGCTGGTGTCTCGTTTGAGTTCAGTTTTGTCATACTTGTGAATCAATTTTTTTCTCGTTTGATCGTAAAATTCTGTGAGGAAGTACATAAACGATATATATAATATATATATATATATATATTATATATATATATATATATAATATATATATATAATATATATATATATATATATATATATATATATATATATATAAACACGAAATAATAGGTACATAAAATAAGGAATTGGCGCAGACAAAGATAATTTGTAGAGAGGGAAGGGAAGTGTGGAGAATAACCAAAGTGATTGTGAATTGGATGATTTCGTTGGGATGAAAAGAGACCAACTCTCTCTGACGTCATCTTCACTGAAGAGTGAGTTTCAAAGGGGCGGGAAAAAAGGGAGAAGGGAGAGAGAGGGAGAGGGAGGGGGAAGGGAGAGAGGGAGAGAAGGGAGAAGAGGGAAGGAGAGAGGAGGGAGGAAGGGTGAGAGAGGGAGGGAAGGAGAGAGGAGAGTGAGAGAAGGAGGAGGAGAGAGAGGAGGAAGGAGGGAGGGGAGGGAGAGAGGGAGGAAGGAGGGAGGGAAGGAGAGAGAGGGAGGAAGGAGGGAGGGAGGAGAGAGAGGGAGAAGGGAGGGAGGGAAAGGAGGAGAGGGAGGAAGGAGGGAGGAAGGAGAGAGGGAGAGGAGGGAAGGAGGAGGGGAGAGGGAGGGAAGGAGAGAGGGAGAGGGAGGGAAGAGAGGGAGGGAGGGAGGAGAGAGGGAGAGGGAGGGAAGGAGAGAGGGAGAGGGAGAGGGAGGGAAGGAGAGAGGGAGAGGGAGAGGGGAGGAAGGGAGAGGAGAGGGGAGAGGGAGGGAAGGAGGAGGGAAGGGAGAGGAGGGAAGGAGAGAGGGAGAGGGAGAGGAGAGGAGGGAAGGAGAGAGAGAGAGAGAGAGAGAGAGAGAGAGAGAAGAGAGAGAGAGAGAGAGAGAGAGAGAGAGAGAGAGAGAGAGAGAGAGAGAGAGAGAGAGAGAGAGAGAGAGAGAGAAGAGAGAGAGAGAGAGAGAGAAAAAAGAGGGAAAAGGTATCCAGATTAAAAGGGAGTCTGGAAGCCCTCGCAATTGCAGACTTTCCAAGAAGGATCTAACGCGCGCGATTCAAAACGAGGGTAAATATAAAAGGGATTGAAAAGAAAGAAAACGCAAAAGGAAAAAAAAAAGAGAGAATAAAAGCAAAGCAAAGAGAGACTGAAAAGAAAGGGAAATAAGGAGTAAAAGCAAAGAGCGATTCATGTGATCGTGCATTCATAAAAGCGACAGTTTGCATTAACACGGGATCAATATATCAGAGGAAGCCGGGGATTCAGTGGAGCCGAGGAGCGCGCGCTCGAGCGGACGCGGGGACTCGAAGTGACGTCGGGGTTCTTCTCTCTCTCTCTCGTTTTTCTTTTTTCTCTTTCTTTTGGTTTTGGTTTTGGTTTTGGCTACTTTTTTCTTTCTATAGTCTTTCTCTCTCTCTCTCTCTTTCTCTCTTTCTCTCTCTCTTCTCTCTCTCTCTCTCTCTTTCTATCTGATCTGTATCTCTCTCTCTCTCTCTCTCTCCTCTGTATCTCTCTCTCTATCTCTCTCTCTCTCATTTCTGTCATCTGTCTGCTCTCGTCTCTCTCTCTCTCTCTCTCTCTCTCTCTCTCTCTCTCTCTCTCTCTCTCTCTCTCTCTCTCTCTCTTCTCTCTCTCTCTGCTTTTTACCTACCCCCCTTTCTCTGTCTCTCATTCCCCCTTCCGCTCTCCCATGTTTCCCCTCTCCTCCTCCTCCTGCTCTTTCTCATCCTCTTTCTTCTCCTCGTCCTCCTCCTTGCTCCTCGTCTCCTTTCTCATCCTCTTCCTCTCTTTTTTTCCTCCTCCACCTCCTCCTTCCGCCTTCCTGTGCATTTACACGTGTGCACATGCACGTAAGTCCGCACACGGCCCGAGTGGCCCCGCGCACGTGACCGTCGCGGCGGAACCAGAAGATGCCTTGCAAGAAAGGCCTCTCGCGGCGCCCGGACACACACGGCGCTCTGGCTCTCTGTCTAACTGTGAATGTATGTATATGTATATATATATATATATATATATATATATATATATATATATATATATATATATATGTATGTATGTATGTATGTATGTTATGTGTGTGTGTGTGTGTGTGTGTGAGAGAGAGAGAGAAGAGAGAGAGAGAGAGAGAGAGAGAGAGAGAGAGATAGAGAGATAGAGAGATAGAGAGATAGAGAGAGAGAGAGAGAGAGAGAGAGAGAGAGAGAGAGAGAGAGAGAGAAGAGAGAGAGAGAGAGAGAGAGAGAGAGAGAGAGAGAGAGAGAGAGAGGAGAGGGGGGAGGGAGGGAGGGAGGGAGAGGGGGAAGGAGAGGGAGAGAGAGATAGCAATAAAGGGCGTCTGTGAGTAGGGAGGTAGAAGCTGAGAGAGAGAGAGAGAGAGAGAGAGAGAGAGAGAGAGAGAGAGAGAGAGAGAGAGAGAGGGAGAGAGAGGGAGAGAGAGAGAGAGGGAGAGAGGAGAGAGAGAGAGAGAGAGAGAGAGAGAGAGAGAGAGAGAGAGAGAGAGAGAGAGAGAGAGAGAGAGAGAGGGAGGGAGGGAGAGGGGGAGGAGAGGGAGAGAGAGATAGCAATAAAGGGCGTCTGTGAGTAGGGAGGTAGAAGCTGAGAAGGAGAGAGAGAGAGAGAGAGAGAGGAGGAGAGAAGAGAGAGAGAGAGAGAGAGAGAGAGAGAGAGAGAGAGAGAGAGAGAGGAGAGAGAGAGTGTGTGTGTTGTTGTTTTGTGTCGCATTTATTTTTAAAAGTGGCTTTGCCGAGTGCTACCTGCCTCGGTGCGTACGTACGCGAGGAAGAAAGGAAGGGGAAAAGGTGGAAAAGGGGAAGAAAGGAGGGCGAAAGAGGAAGGTGGGAGGAGTAGGGAGAAAGAGGAAGAAGGGAGGGAGAAGAGAGAAAAGGGAAGAAAGGAGGGGAAAAGGGGAAGGGAGAAAGAGGAAGAAGGGAGAGGGGAGGGAGAATTAGGAAGAATAAGGAGAATAAGGATGCAGGGAGGGGGAGGAAGAAGGGAATGGAAGAGGAAGAAGAAAAGGTCAAGAAAAGAGAAGGCGAAAGCAGGAAAGGAAGGAGGGGAAGAAGGAAGGGAAGTGGAAGCGAAAGGGGAGAGAGGAAGCGAAAAGGGGGAATAGGGAAGGATGAGAATGGGAACGGGGCTCTTGGTTCGAGTTATCGAGGTTGAGACAAGGCGAAGGAAATCTCATTTTTTATTGTTGTTAGTGCAGTTATTGTTATTATTTTTATAATCACTATTTTTATTATTATTGTTATCATCATCATCATCATCATCATCAATGTTATTTTTTATTGTTATTTATTATTATTATCATTTTTTTTTATTTTTATTTTATTATTATTATTATTATTATTATTATTATTATTATTATTATGATTATTATTATCATTATTCGTTTTTTTATTATTATTATTGTTTCTGTGATTGGTATTCTTACAAGTAACAGTTGCAGTAATCGTAGCAGTATTTTTTTTTCTTTTGGTGTCAAGAGCCTGGCATGAAAGTCGACAAGCGAAGGATTTTCTCGACGAAGTTGGTTGGCATATACGCGAAGGCACACACAGCCACAAAGAAGAAGGGGAATGTGGCGGAAAAGAGGGTGGCACAAAAACGACGAGCACACACACAGCCAGCAGAATGAAGGAGGCGCAAACGGAACAGAACACACGAGAAAGGCATACGAGCAGCACGAGCCACAGCTACAAAACACACCGCAACGACAGCATATAGGAGGACTACAAAACGACACAGTGAAGAGACGACAACGAACGAGAGAGAAGATAGGGAAGGGTGTTGATTGAAGAGAGAAAATGGTTGGAAGACAAAGGAAGAGCGGCACACACAGCGCGGAAGGGCACGCACACAGAGGACAAGAACACGAGCAGATAAAAACGCAGCGAGAGCGCACAAAGGTTGGAGAGAGGATCTTTGGCAGCATAATACGCAACGGAAGATACACAGAAGTCCACCCCAAAGCCACTACCAGCACTCACACGACAATAACAGACACACTACACACAGACAAACGGCAGCACGCGACTCGACACTAAGGCACAGAGGTACGAGGGTAGGATAAGAAGATCATACCAACATAGGGATAGCAAACTCAGCAGCACCAGCCAAAACGAAATGCGCACGCTGCTAAAACGACAGCACACATATATAGGCGAATCAGGCTTGAGGACAAAACCAGCGAGGAAAGAGAAAAGGGATAAGGAAAGAACGGCGGCAAGGGACGACAAAACAGCAACGCGCACCAGCGGAAAGCGTGAATAGGACAATACAAGAACGGGGCGCAACAGCACACAATACCGGAGAGCAAGCAGAGCGCAGCAAACACAACAATACCGGACACATGCACACAAAGACGGACACAAACACACACAGGAACCACACGTGTCGGTTACACTCAGACCAGCAAGAGCAAGCACATAAAACTATAGCTGAAACAGCACGCACATCGGTAAAACCTACACACGCACAACATTTCTCAAAGAACCTAACATGTACGGGAAGCAACGAGCAAGCAAAACACACACGGGCACACGCAAAAACACACACGCACACACAAGCGCACAACGCGGCACACGACAAAAAAACACACGGCCAGAGGACAGTCGAATCAAGCACGCACACCCACAAATCGCACACCCGGGCAACACAATCCACGCACCAGGACACACACAAGCTAGCACAGCACAAAACCACCACAAACACACACACACACAACACACACACAACTAGGAATATAGGGGATAGTATACCACAATCACAAGCGCGAGCACGATCCCTCACACAAGCTTACGCGACAGTCACATACCGAAGCTCTACACTCACAGGCAACAGTCTCTGACACGAACAGTTCACATAGGAGAGAGAGATAAGGATCCGAGCACACACACACAACACCACACCGACACACAACGGACGACAACTACCACAACTCACACAACATATTAACAACATGTGAGTTTCAAAATCGACATCTCCACACACAAAAACAGCACTACTCAACCCACACAACACACAAAACACACTAATCTACACACATCACAAACTACTTATCTCACTCAATTCCTGAGCAACTAAATACGTCTAAGTCACGTTTGCAGTTTATGAGTGTGTATTTATTTTTTTTAAATCAGACGGTATTATTATATTATTGGTTTATCTCATAAAATCATGCAGTTCACGTACACATCACGCAATTATCCAATCCTCTCATTTTTATCATGCTATCCAACTCTCAAACTCCACTCTCCATCTCACTTATCGATATCTAACATCTCAGCAGACATTTAACTTGCACGCACTTATTATTACTGTCAATCTACTATTATGCTACCGTCTCACTTTATTATTTTATTTCCACTAACACAATGAAATAGTTATATTATTGATTATTTATAAGATTCATTTTTCTTGTCAAAATATTTTTGTCTCTTAGTGTCTATCATTATGTAGTCTTACTCATCATCACTCGTTTCTGTGGAGTTGGGTATTCTTTACGGGTAAACAAAGTTGCAAGTAATCGTAGCAGTAATTATTTTTTTTTCTCTTTTTTGGTGTAATAGAGTCAGAACGACACACCACTGCCACTGACAGAAAATAGCCCACCCACACAGCTCACACGATAACAAGCGCCAGAGCATAATTCAACACAGGATTTTCTTAAGAGTCCACATAGGCAAATCTCACACAGCACGCAGCGAGAAACGCGCGAAAATAGCACACTAGACGACAAGGTAGGACATCCCGCACACACACACAAGCATATATGAGCTCGAACACGGCCCGCACACCGCGTACACTGCTCCTGCTCATACAAGAAGGGAGAGAGACAGAATTAGAGGAGGGGGGGCAGCTTCGGACAGCAGGAGGGATGAGGGAGTAGAGGGCACAGAGTTGTGAGGGTTTTGCGCTACTTCTTGTATGCACATGTCTGATATACTTCGCACTAGTTGCGTGTGATCAGTAATCGGGCACAAACATACCCACACAAAAACCACACGCACGCATCACCTCAAACTCACTACACTCGGACGCACGCCACATCTAGCACTCACACCATCATTAGGCGTACTTCCAGTAGATTTACAGCATGGGCGTATGTACCTACATCACAGTGCGGTTTGGGCTCGAGGCACATGAGTGCTCATCAGCATCGATGTGCTACGCTGACATGCATCACGCTCACAATTGTGGTGTGCTCGCGTCGCACTCGCTACTACTGGGTGTCAGCTCGATGTCGACTTAGCTCTGTCAGCTCTGACTCGACCCTGTCTGCTGACTAGTGTCGTTTGTGATAGTGGCTCGACATCGCTGTCGATGCTCTTGTAGATAGGTACGCTCAGTCGTAGTCGTGAATTTGTTATCGCTCGAGGCTCGCTCAGTCACGCACTCGTCGATGTCGTAGCTGCTGCTGATAGCATCGTGCTGATAGTAGTGCTACGCATCTAGCGATTCGCGTGATGTAGTGATGCTTTTATCTCACACTCACATACCTATCGTTGTCACTAGTGCCTTCATCCCACTCACAGAATAACGAGTGACATTAATATAAGCAGACACGAGCACAACTCGACAACACCATAGCACGCTACGCTCCACGCAGCTGGCGCTGAACGCGCTAGCTAACGGGCCAAACAAGGGAACAGACAGAGGAAGGCACACAGAGGGGGCGGAGTCAAGAAGGGCAGGCGGCAAGGTCGAAAGGATAGGGCGTGCCACCAAGGAGAAAGTCTCCGCCCCACCCGCCACACATCGTCGCACGACACGACGTCCAACAGCCCGGCCTCACACGTCGCCTCGCCGCAGTACACGCCGCAGCAATTTCAACGGCACCACCGCGTTGGGACCGCTTACACCTCACAGACACACACGTGCGCCCGCAGACGCAACCACACTTGCCGTTCCGCTTCGGGCCGGAGGGGGAGAACCACAGGGCGCAACACAGGGGAGACCTGGAGGGGCGCCGAGGGGGTCGCGGAGCCTAGTGGGGGGGAGGTGACGAAGTCAAAGAGAATTGGTAACTGAAAGAAAGCGGTAAAGTGGTAACGGAATACCGGTTTTTATACGTAACTGGGAACTGGAATCTGAAAATTGGTTTCTGGAAAATGCTGAAAGAAAAATATTTGTAAAGAAAAAGTTGAAAAGAGACGAATAAAATGGTAAATGAATAGATATGTATGTAAAGTGATTGAAAAAACGAAAAAAAAAGGTGAATGAAAACAGAAATGATATATATTTGAAAATTGAATACCTGCTAATTTAAAACTGAAAAAGAAAGAAACTAGTTACTGAAATCTGAAAAAAAACGAAATAACAAGTAACTGGTATTGTGAAATTGAAAAGTGTTAACTCGGAAAACGATTAAAAAATGAAGAAAGTATAAGAAAGTGCTAAGCCTTTAAAAGTGTGTCACGTGGTGTGATCTTATTGTTTTTTATTATTCTTATTTGTATTTTTTTATCTTAAATCTGTATCTTCCTTAAGAAATGAGAAGAAGAGAAAAGAGATTGTTGTGCAGACGAGCCAACGCGTTTTGAAAAGAGTTTGTGTGAGAAAAAAGACTCACAGAAAACGACAAAAAAGTAAAAACAACATAAACAACAAGAACACAAAAACAACACTTTAGGCGGGAATCAACAAGTTAAGAAAGAGGAGAAAGAGAGAAAACGAACACTTTTGGCGGGCGGGAATCGGTAGCTTTAAAGGAGAGAGAAAAAAAAAAGACGAACGCTTTTGGCGGGACTCAACAGGTTTGAAACAGGAAGAGGAAGATCGAACACTTTTGGCGGGAATCGAGAGCTTTAAAAGAGAATTAGAAAAAAAAAACGAACACTCTTGGCAGGAATAAACAACTATTAAAGAGAAAAAATAAAGAGAAACGAATACTCTGGAATAAACAACTTTAGAAAAGAAAAATAGAGAGAAACGAACACTTTTGGCGGGCCGAGAGACAGACAGACACATCGAGACAGACATGTGATGACATCAGCCGCGGACGCACGCCCAAGCACGATGTCCAGAGGCGTGGTTTCGTCGGCGTTGTGGGCGGGGCTAGTGGGCGTGTTCTTGGCGGCCCTCCTGCTCGCCCGCCCAACGCACTCGGAGGTCGACGTCGTAGGTGAGGTTAAGCTTGGCTCGAGGCTGGGCGCTCTTCGATTCGCTTTTGTTTTTTGTTTTCTGCTTTTTTTAAATACTATTTTTCGCTTTTTTTCTTTTTTCTTCTTTTTTTTTTTGGCTTTCGTTTTTCCTTTTTGTTGTATATTTTTGGCTTTTTTTTTTTTTCTTTCGTGTTCTTTTCGTGGTTCTTTTTTCTTCGTTTCTTTCTTTTTCTCTTTTTTTCGTACTTATTGCTTCTATTTCTTTTTTTATTTGTTCATTATGTTTGTCTTTCTTTTTGTTCTTGTGTATGTTTTCCTTTTTGTCTTTTTATCATTATTCCGGTTCTCAGTCTCTCTGTCTTTCTTTGTTTCGGACTTTCTTTTTTTCATTCTTTCCGTCTATATTCTATTTCCATTTTACTCTTTCTCTTTCTCTTTTGCCCCTATCTATATATCTATCCATTTATTCATATTTATTATCTCTCTCTCTCTCTCTCTCTCTCTCTCTCTCTCTCTCTCTCTCTCTCTCTCTCTCTCTCTCTCTCTCTCTCTCTCTCTCTCTCTCTCTCTCTCTCTCTCTCTCTCTCTCCACTTCCTCTTTGCCTTTCCCCTTCTCTCTTTTTGTTCTCCTCTTCCCTGTTTCCTCCCCCTCATTCCTTCATTTTAATCTCTCCTCCCGTCTGCCCTTTTTCCTCCTCTCCCTTCGCTCTCCACCCTTTCTCCTCTCCTCCCACCTCGTCTACCTTTTCCTCCACCTCCTCCTCTTCTCTCCTCTCCTCCTCTTCCTCTTCCTTTTCTCTACCTCTCCTCCTTCTCCTTCTCCTTCTCCTCTCCTCCTCCTCCTCCTCCTCCTCCTCCTCCTCCTCCTCCTCCTCCTCCTTCTTCCTTCTCCTCCTTCTCCTCTTCTCCTCTCTCTCCTCTCCTCCCCTCTCTCCTCCTCTTCCCCACCCACCCTCCCTCCCTCTTCCCCACCTCCCCCACCCACCCCTTGCCAATCATTCTCGTCCTTGCGCCTCCCAAACGCCCATTTAAATACGCCGCGAGGGTGTGTAAAATATCGTCATCCTCTTTTTTTAGCTTTCCTCATGTTGATTCTGTGTGTATTTGTTTGTTTGTTTTTTGTGTGTACGTGTTTTTGTTTGTGTTTGTGTGTGTTTGTTGTGTGTATGTGTTTTGTTTATGTGTTTGTGTGTGTGTTTGTTTATGTGTTTGTGTGATTGTTTGCTTGTGTGTTTGTGTTTTTGTGTGATTGTTTGTTTGTGTGTGTTTGTGTGATTGTTTGTTTGTGTGTTTGTGATTGTATGGTTGTTTGTGTTTGTGTTTGTGTATGCATGTTGTTGTATGAGTATGTGTACTTGTATTTGTTCGTGTGTGTTTGTTAGTGCGTGCGTTTGTTTGTGTGTGTGTGTGTGTGTGCGCGAGTGCGTGTGTATATGTATGTGTGTGTAAAAGGGAGAGAGAACGAGAGAGTAAATGCAGGCGCGTAGGTGTTTGTGTCCCTACATGTACGCGCCTGTAAGCAAGTGTCGGCGTGTACAAGTATGTGTGCGTGCGTGCGAGTACTCCGTCGAGAGGGCAGCAGCTGTGCGTTTTGAAAATGAGACATGATAAGAAAATGAGATGAAGTGAGGCCGAGAAGGACCAGATGAGGGTAGGGAGGCCGGCGGGATGGAGGGGGGGGAGGGTAATCAGGGGCGTTGCGCTGTTTGGTTGTTTGTTGGTTTGTCTGCTTGTGTCTGTTTGTTTATATTTGTAAGGTGTGTGTGTGTGTGTGTGTTGTATGTGTGTCCGTATGTGTCTGTGTTTGTTTGTCTGTCATTCTGTCTGTCTGTCTCATTCTCTGTCTGTCTGTCTGCCTGTGTCTCTTGTCTATCTGCCTGTGCCTGTCTGTTTATTTATTTTTTATTATTATATTGATTGAGTTATATATATATGTTTGTATGTCCTTACTGGCAGGCCTTTCTGAATATGTTTGTATATCTATCTTTACTGATATATCCCTTGCATGTTGATTGACGTTTTGAAAGATCTGTCTGTGTTGATTTATTTACACGAATTGGTTGGTCTGTCCACATTGGTAGGATTTGTGTAAATTGCCACTCTGTTGATAGGTTCATGTGAATGTTTGTCACTTTATATTGACAGATTTATATAAGTGATTGTCATTCCTGTCTTTATCGACTGAGCTCTATGAATACGACAGATTTATACATGTACGTTTGTATTTCTTTCTTTTAAAGGTTTTTAGACCTTACTTTAAGTCTGTGCTTCCTTACGTGTACGTTTAGGAAGGCTAGATCAGTAGCAACTCTAGGAGGTGTCATGGCGTCTGATTCTATTTTTGGAAAAAAAAGCACATGGGGTTTATTTTGATGACGTCACAAAAGTTACGGATGCTTTGTGAATATGGTCGACCATTTTGGTCTTTTTAATTTTCAAAAAGAATGTAATGATTTTAATGCCTTAATTTTAATTGAACAATCATCAAAACAGACGCCATGACACCTCCACGAGTTGCTACTGATCTAGCCTTTCCTGTACTGTATTGTGTACAGTGACGGACGAAAGTCATGCCGTGAATTGAAGCTTCGAATCTGTCTCACCCTATGCGAAAAGCGTGGTATGGAGCGGAGGTTCGAGACGGAATTCGAAACGGGTTTGGCGGGAGTTTTGAACGTGGCTGTGTCGGTTGTGAGAAGGCCTATATATGGAGATCGATCCTGAAAATTGCGGTCCGGGATTGGATTGCATAGTGAAGTGTCCTTCTCGGCGTTTGGGTACTTGGATCACATTGACAGAGACACAGATATATACACAGGCACATACACGTGACAGGCCTGTACGCATAGATGCGGACTCAGAGAAAGACTCATACACAGACACACATAGTTGCACAGACACACACATGCACAGACATAGACTCATACACACAGAGACACACACAGACATACATACATAGGCACAGGCATATACATACACAGACACGTACACATAGATACAGACATAGACTCATACACACAGAGACACAGACATGCACACATAGACACAGACATACACAGATGTACACAAACACAACATACATACATAGGCACAGACATATACATACACAGACACGTGCACATAGATACAGACATAGACTCATACACACAGAGACACAGACATGCACACATAGACACAGACATACACAGACACACAAACACACACCATGTACACAAACACAACTGCTTCCAGTGCTCCTCCTCTTGGGCGATTCCTCAAGGCAACCTTTGAATAGGAAAAAAGAAAGGAAGAAAATCCTCGCGGGTAAAAACTCCCTTTGAATCTTCTCGAAACTTCTCGAAGGTATTTGGATTGAGGGGAAGAGAGGTTCGGCGGGAGATATCTCTGAGGGAATACTTTTTTGGGGGGAATAGTTTATTTTTGGATTTTGTGTGTGGATATTTGTTTTGATATTATTTTTTTAAGACTTACTGTATGTTATTATTATTATTATTTTATTATTATTATTATTATTATTGTTATTATTATTATTATTGTTGTTGTTATTATTATTGTTATTATTATTATTATTATTATTATTATTATTATTATTATTATTATTATTTTATTTGGAAAATTTCATTAAATACATTTTCGAGATAGTTTTTTATCCATTTTCTCTTAGAATACTGGTTTCGAATATATTTTGGAATGCCCTTTTTACTGTCTCTCTTCTAACTTTTATTTTATTTTTTGAAAACATTTGAATACTTTTTTAAGATTCGAATATGAAATACTTTTTTTTTAATACATTTTTTGAACGCTTTTGATGCAACTCTTTCTGTGGACCGCGTGGGTTGCGATCGAGCTGACACGAGTATGACCTTATCAGCTGTTTTGTAACTTTGACTTACCGGCTGATAGCTGCGGGTAGTACGCGTATCATTTTTTTTTTTTTTTTTTTTTCTTAATGAATCATTCGAGGGTGGATCTTGAATGAGATTACTATGGAGTGAATGGAAAGGACAGGAATTAAATTTTGAAATATGAGGCATATGGATCAGATTTTTTTTTTTTTTTTTTGATTCATCCGAGAGTGGATAATGAATGAAATTACTATCGAGTGAATGAAAAGCTCAGTAATTGAATTTTGAAATTTAGATGTTTTTTTTCTTTTTTTTTTCTTAATAAATCATCCGAGGGTGGATATTAAATGAGCTTAAATGGAGTGAATGAAAAGCACAGGGATGGAATTGAAATACGAGGCATATGATCTAGATATCATTTTTTTTTCTTAATGATTCATCCGTGAGTGAATGATGAATGAGATTACAAAGAGTGAATGAAAAGCGCATGAATGGAATTGAAATACGTTTCATATGATCTAGATATCATTTTTTTTTTTCTTAATGATTCATCCGTGAGTGGGTATTGGAGGTTACTCAAGAGTGAATGGAAAATGCATATATGGAATTAAGACACGAAGCATTGGCATGTAATTTCGGAGCAGCGGAGGGAGGGATGCCCAACGTCTTGCTATACCTGAGATCGCGGATAAAATTTTCTGATAGAATTTATTGATTAATTTAGTCGGGTCTCCTTGGTAGAGTGGCTGAGGGGGAATTTTTTCTGCTTCAGGGCCCCCGATGGAATCCTGAGGAAGCTAGAGAAAAGGACAAAATGCTGAAATAAATGAATAAGTGCTTTATATATATATAGACGCATATGTATGTGTGTGTGTTTGTGTGTGTGTTCATGTTCATGTATGTGTGTTCGTGTGTATGTGTTCATGTATGTGTTTTCGTGTGTGTGTGTGTGTGTTCATTTATGTGTTCGTGTGTGTGTGTGTG